CCCCCCCCCAACCCCCATCCCCTCGCCGATTAAAGTGCGGGCTCGCTTTGACGTCATTCTTAATTAGAACGCTGTCGTGTGATGGGAGGTTGTTGACACGGGTCGTCTTGGTTTTTTTCACCCAATTGCGACACTACTCATTGTCTCGCGTCGCGGTCCGTTGTCGCCGGTACTTCTCCATCATCCGCTGCAAGGTACACTGCGCAAAACACGAACATCTATCTATGAGTGGACTGCGAGTCTATGGCGTGGTACCGAGGTCAGCGGCCCCACTTGGGCCTTGGGACATACGTGCCCCGAATCGCGTCTCACCTGCGCTCGGGTTTAAACACCTGCGGGCGGACATCGTGCTGACCCGGGCTTGCCAACCCTTGCCCCTGGCCGCCAGCGCTTCCGCGCGCGTCACGGCGCGTGATGGAGGGGAAGGGGCAGGCCACTCGATGCAAATGGTGCGTGCAGAAGTTCCTTATCAAGTTTGCCTGGCGTAAGCGTAGCCCGCCCCGTTCGCTGCAGGCTGCCGGCAGGCTGCAGCCGCCCCGCCCCGCCAGTGCCGGTTGGCAGTACTGTACTGGCCGCCGCAGCGCTGCAGCCGGCCGGAAGCCGATACGGGCCTGTTGATTTGTTTTTGTATTGTTGTTGTTTTCAGTAGTGTTGACATTTCGTGGTCTGTGTGCTCGGTGCAGAGGGAGTTACAGGGCGGATAAGTGCGGTGATTTTCCCAGGCTTCGTGTCGAAGCTGTCCCGCTGGCCAGCCAAGTTGGCCAGCTTCTTCCCAACTCAGTCGAATCCATGCAGTGTTCGTGTCCCTTGAGGTACGATTTGCGAGGGTCATGTACAGGTTATATTTAGAGTGAAAAAGTGCTTACTCTTCATGGCCAGGGCTGTTTTCGAGTCTCTTCATGGTGTTTTGTGTTTGCCGACAGATATGGGTGTACCAAGGCGCACTGTAGTCAAAATCCGTCCGTCCCATCCAGAACTTGGCGTAATGTTACCAAACCCCCCAGCTGACCTCAGGACTTCACCTGCCAGAGTGTGGTCAGGAATATGCACTGTAATCAAATATGTGGTCTTCTTTTGTCTTGGCATGGTAGTTGGTGCTGTGTTCCTTCAGAGTGATAATGTTCAGAAGGGATGTTTTGAAAGCATGGTTGCTGTTGGCTTCAGTACCCATCGTAGCCGTGAGATTTGCTACAAAAACCAACCCAGTTATTCTAATGGTCCCCTGACTAGATTTGACTGCATGCCTCGCAATGCCAATGCGCAAGATTGTAAAAAGAGAGGATGCCTTTGGGATGAATCAGTCCAGAATGTGCCATATTGCTACTACCCAGATAAATATGGGTCTTATTCTAACATGAATGTGACTGCTCAAAATGGCAAGATTAGTGCCTTCATGCAGAGAAAAATTAAGTCTCAATATCCTGAAGATATTGATCTTCTCCAATTTGAGGCTTGCTCTGAAACGGAATCCAGACTACACATAAAGGTAATTTCATGTTACTAATCAAGTATAGATTTGTAGATTTATAGTGCTCAAGTTGAATCACCACTTTTCTTTTTCCTCTTGAAGATAACAGATGCAAAGAGAGATCGATATGAACCCCATTACCCTGAAGTGCCCCAAGTTCAATGCAAATCATTTGAGAAGAGTAAGTTTCAGGTCAAAATATCTGAAAATAAAATGGGCTTCAAAGTTCTACGTTCACCAAACAATGTCATGTGAGTGTCAAGAAAATGTTGGAATTATCTGGGATCTTGTTATTTTTGTAGGGATGTTTCTGACATCTTTTCATTTGCAGATTTGATTCTGAGGACATTGGTGCTCTGATTTATGCCAATCAGTTTCTGCAAGTGACTGCAAGATTTCCCTCAGGGTCTCTTCTCTATGGCATTGGGGAACGTCAAAGCCCCATGAATATCAAAACATCAACTTACCAATCATTCACTCTCTGGAATCGTGATGTAGCTCCCACTGACAAGGTACCCAAAATAAATTCCTTCCTCGACTATATGTTTTAATTATGATCACTTTTATTAATTTTTGTCTGTCAATTTATTTTGAATTCAAAGTTTTAGTTTTTTTCTGTCGCTACCAACTTTTTAAAAATTTGAAAATTGGTTTCTGTTAACAGGTAAACTTGTATGGAAGCCACCCTTTCTTGCTGATTAGAGACAAATTTGATGGAACAAAATCAAAGTGGCATGGTCTTTTCCTGCTGAACAGCAATGCAATGGGTATGTGATTGCCTTTGCTTGTAATTGTTGCATATGCTGCCTGTGAAATAAAATTCAATGTCATCTTCTTACAGACATTATTACACAGCCAGGACCATCAATCACCTTCAGAACTATTGGTGGTATATTGGATTTTTATTGGTTTATGGGAGATACCCCTAGCCAAGTAACTGAGCAGTACCTTGAAGTAGTTGGACTTCCACGCATGCCACCATATTGGGCTCTAGGTTTTCATCTTTGCAAGTAAGCTATTTCTTGTCCTGTTGGAAAAATATATAGATCAATTTTTAATTCTCTGATTTAAATTCTCATTGGCCATTCTTCTCTCTGTAGGTTTGGTTACGGATCACTTGAAAAAACCATTCAAGTTTGGAACCGAACTCGGTCAGCAGATATTCCTTTTGTAAGTAGTAAAGGCTGTGACTCTTAGTAGTTTGCTTTTAAAAGTAAATTTGTTTTAATTTTGAAAAAAATTGTTTTGAACAACAGGATGTACAATGGAATGACTTGGATTACATGGATAGGAACAATGACTTTACAATTGGACCAAAATTCAGCAAGCTCTCTGATTTTGTTGACATGCTTCATTCGGTAAGTAATCAAATTCACTTTACCATTTGTGAAGTCTTCTAGTATCACTAATTTTTTTATTCCTATTTTTTAAAAAATTTGAAAACGTAGATTGGCATGCATTACATACCTCTCATTGATCCTGGAGTAAGCGCTGGAGAAAAGGCAGGTCAATATGAGCCTTATGACTATGGTCTTGAACTTGGCATTTTTGTCAACGATGAAAAGAATAAGCCATTTGTTGGAAAGGTAAGAAAATAGTGCTTGCGACTCTCAACACATTTATATTGAAAATTCCATTGTTTCAAACTTATATGTACCCTAATTTCTTTCAATAGGTGTGGAATGGTATTTCAACTGTTTGGCCTGATTTTACAAACCCAAAAACTCTTGACTATTGGACACTGATGCTACAAAAACTACATCGTCAAGTACCATTTGATGGGGCATGGATTGATATGAATGAACCATCTAATTTCTACAGTGGTACAATTAAAGGCTGCCCCAAGAATTCTCTTAACTATCCTCCATATGTACCAAATGTCATTGGTGGCCAACTTTTTAGCAAAACCCTCTGTCCATCTGCTAAACATTACAGTGGTTCACACTATGACCTCCACAACATGTACGGCATTTCTGAAGCTGTTTTTACTAGCTTTGCATTGATGAAGATTCGCAATGAAAAAAGGCCAGTAACCATTTCTCGCTCCACATTCCCTGGCCATGGTCACTTTGCCTCTCACTGGACTGGTGATGTTTTCTCAACTTGGAGTGACATGAAACTCAGTGTGGCACGTAAGTTACTAATCTGTATATATTCAATCATAATCCTAATCCTTTAATACTGAATTGATGTACTCAAATCTGCTTTCTCTCAACTCTCTTCAGAAACCTTGAACTTCAACATGTTTGGTATCCCTTTTGTGGGAGCTGATATTTGTGGTTTCAATGGCAATACCACTGCCGAATTATGTGCCCGATGGAGTCAGCTTGGTGCATTTTACCCATTTTCTCGGAACCACAATTCAGATGACACTATTGAACAAGATCCTGTTTCTCTTGGACCAAGTGTGGTAAATGCTGCCAGGAAAGCACTGAGAATTCGTTACAGTCTTTTGCCATACTTATATTCTCTATTTTATGATGCTCACAAACGTGGTACCACTGTTGCACGTCCACTATTTTATGAATTTCCGAATGATGGCAATACCCATCTCCTTGAGACTGAGTTCATGTGGGGCTCTTGTATTTTGATTGTGCCAGTATTGGATGAGGGTAAAACTAGTGTAGATGGATATTTCCCGGCTGGCATTTGGTATGACTGGAATACTAATAAGACTGTGAGAGCTCTGAAACCATTGACACAAACAATTAATGCTCCACTAGATGTAATTCCTCTCTTTGCAAGAGGTGGATGTATTCTACCTTCACAAGTGCCAAAAGCCACAACAACAGAGAGGTACTTTAAATTTCATTCTCCTAATTGAACATCTTTAATAATGCCCCTTCTTTAATTAATTTTTCTTTTGCAGTCGCCTGACTCCATTGACTCTAAGAGCTTACTTAGATGTGAATGGTATTGGTTCTGGAAAAGCATACTTTGATGATGGAGACTATGTTTGTTAGTATTTTGGCTATTTGTCTGCAATTGAATTACTGTAGATCGCTGGTCAAATTATTGATATCTATTTTTCATTTGTACAGATTCTATTGATGAGGGAAAATATTCTTTGATAAACTTCACTGTTACGGAGAAAACATTCACCAGCAGGGTAGTGAAGTCTGGTTTTCCTGCAGTACCACCATTAAAAACAGTATTAATACATGGAGAGTGTGGAAAAGTTTCAGGCGTAACTGTAAACGGCCAAAAATGGAGTAATTTCAACTTTGATACGTCATCATGTGTAAGTATCATAGGAACTTTGTGTTCTAAACCTTTCAGTGTTCCAAAGACTGTCTCTTACGGTGTAATTTTTTTTTTTTTACAGATTTTAAGTATTGAGGTAGACCTCAACCTCCTGGAGGAAATAAAATTAACTTGGCATACCAGCAGTATGGAGAACTAGCTGGAAACTTAATCTAGTAACTTTAATAGACTGATTTATTCTTTTTTTTAGTTTGTCTTTCTAAGCCAAAGCTTTTAATATTTGTGGCCATGCTCAAAGTGCGAGATTTAAAAAAATGTAATACCAAAAACAAAACTGTAATGAAACTTTTTCATTATTGTGTAAAATGACTTATCAAATTGATTTGAGATGTCATGTCAATTTGACAAGCCATTTGCTTTTTATATTATTATTTTTTGTTGAAGTTAGATATGATTTAAACAAATTTTTTGGATTAATGGCTTAAAGAAATTCTTATATTTTGCTCTTACGTTGGATGTACTTAAGATAAGCAATTATCCTGTATTATCCCCAATGTTTAAAGAGCTGTGTCATTATGACTGATTCTCCTTAGTCTATTCATAATTTTCTCTAAAAATTAGAAATTAAGAATGTGTTGTAAATAAATGATTTATTGTACTAATTACTTCATTAAATGTTATTCCAAAAAATAAGTTACTCCTATTATTTAAAATCACATCACAATACTTGTAAAAAACTCAATCACAAATCACAAAGGAATTCTTCTTTCTCAGACACTATACTGATTTTAAAATATTAGATATGATAGGCTTAGGACGGACTTTGAATAACAACTTTTTCTTGATGATAGCTCGAATTTGGTACTCAGTGTGTGATTCAGATGTTTCGGTGTTTTCCAGCTTGCAGCAATCTGGCTGGATTCCTCTCTTACGTTCTAATACTGCAAATGGTTTCTCTAGAGCAACCTCCTTACCAGTTAAGATATGGTGACCAATAATAAGTATGGGTGTTCCCTGTAAAAGAAGACAGGAATAATCTAAAGTGCTGCAAGGAGAAGGTTGACAAAGCACTCACTGAAACCTGTAGTTGCAAATCACCTGTTTGGTGTAGTGAAGATCACCTATGAATTGACCATGTGTTTCCTGGTCACTTTGAGACACCAAATCACCTTGTAACTCTATAATTCCCCATTGAACCTCTTTGCCTTCACTTGGCCTGAAACAAAAGGGAACTCAGGTAAACATTACGAGCATTTTACAGCAGAAGAAACCATACTAGGTTATAAAAGTTACAAGACCCTTACAGCTTGATTAAAATCATAACTGAAATTAATTTGGTGTTCAGATGAGCACGGATAAACTCAAAATTAAAATATTTGACCGTCTAATGATGTTTGAGGCAAGATTAGATAGAAATTTAGACCATGAAGTGCAAATGGTTTCACTAGCAGTAGGTTTAACAGTACGTTGTTTGTTGTTGATTCGCGGGAAAATATATAGCAGACAAACAAGTCTGCCCACACAACATGACAACATTTGTTGAAAATAAGATCTTCTGAAAATAAATGAGTGAGCCGATAGCTTTCAAGTTTAAGAATTATTGAAAAGAAAATCAAGATGTGATCGATCAAAAATGTTGATGTCACCCTTTCAGGGCAGAAAAATTACAACTATAGGGTTTTATGTTTCCAGCCTTTCGCTGTCGTGACAGCACATGTTGCCAACGTGTTTCCTAGATGTAAAGTGTTTTTACTTTTATATTCTTGCGAGTCTAACATAAAATTCTGTTTTTTGTAGCAAAAATATGTTTCTTTGGTAGAAGCTCATCGTAGTTATATTTCTGAAAACATTTGCTCAAATAATGTCAGTTGTTTTCAGTTTTCGTAGTAGATCAGCCCGAAATCGATCGAAGTGCCATCTGGTGTCCAAAGATATTTTGCTCCGACTGTCCGACTCGGGTTGTTGACTGGGGCTGGGAGTCTGGGTGGGTTGTCTGTCAGTTTGTGTTGTGAAGTGAAAATTTACGTTTGCTCAGCGTCAATTGATGTATGAATCCGATAATTTTATGTCTTGCTCATACTGAGCTCATAATTGGAGTGCTGTGATTTGTGTATTGTGTTCACGATAAAGTGTAAATGTGATTCCGGTGCTCTTGAACCAGAGCACAGGAGGCAGCGTAGGCTTCCGCAAACAACGTTCGGATAAGGAACTTATGTGGATTTTCACAACCCTCAAAGGAGGTAAGTCTTAATTAGTATTTGTACAAGTTTCTGTACTCATTGCGCACTAACCCTAGTGTCTTGTTCAGTGATATGCAATTATAAACGTTCATAGTTGCGTCTGTCCCGGTTTTACTGGTTAGTTATGGTGGTACTGCAATACTCCTAATGTACACATTTGATTGGGATGTTCACATTTTGTAACTGAAGGTGTTAAAGTTGTTTTTCCCCTGTTGCTGTTACACTTATTTTCTCTTGAGTGGAGAAGTGCTGAACACTCTGGTGCAAAAGTGCTGATTTGCAGTAAAAAGTCGAGATCCCATTCTTAACACTTTGCTACCTCTGCAAATTCTTGTTTCAAATGAAACATTTTTAAATGACAGCGTTATTGAGCAGGTTATGCTTGTTTTACTTGTATCTCTGTGTAAGTTAATTTTATCCTTTATGTTTTCCAAACTTTTTGCCTGTCTTTCATACAATAGAAATGTCTACTTTTTAAAAAACTCTAAAACTGAATCCATTTATTTATGTATCAGTGAATTTAATTGTTCTGCTAATTTTTGATTACATAAGGAGCTAACTTACTATTCATGATTTTTCATTACGTTGGTAGTTTGCTGGATCTTACCATTTTGTTGTGCCCCAAATTTTTAGTATAGTAATGTTTATTACTCTATGACACACACAAAAGATTGTTGGAGTATTGTAGAGTTGCCGCAGTAAGACATTTAAAGGTGGACTACCAACTAAGTTTAACCAAAAGTTTAAAGTCGCACTGTTTCAATGTACTAACTGTCAAGTAGTATTAGCTCCTATTCGCATTGTGTGTCATTGGCCTCCGCAGTAAAGCACTACTGACACCACTGCAGGTGAGCTTGCTGCCCCTCGCCCTCCGCAATGCACAGCCCTTTACCCCTTCACTCATGTTCCCCCCCTCACACACACACACACACACCCGACCATCCCATCCCCTGCCTCCGCGCCATGCCGTGCCATGCCGCGCGCGCCCGCGCAGGACTTGCAGCTGCTGTACTTCTCTTTGTTGCCCGGGTCGCCTCCGTGTGTGTCTGTATGTATGTGTGCGTGTCGTCTTGTCTTCCCAGCGCAGTGGACCGGACCGCGGGCTGTGCCGTGGGGGGCGGGCGGGCAGGGGGGCGAAGGCCAGCACGCCGGTCCGGTGTATTCAGAGGGTATATTCGCGAGACGAGCCGAGTCGAGCCGAGCCGGGCCGAATTGGAGCTGCCATGGGCATGGTAAGAGGAGAAGGGAAGGGCAGGGCCGGCAGGAGGGCCGAGCGGGGTGGGGCGGGGCCCTGCCCAACCTGCCCGTCCAGGGCCCAGGAGGGCCCCGATCGGGAGTGCATTTGGCCCAGCAGCTTCTCTGCTTCCATTCCCCCCCCCCCCTAAATTGTCCCGTCCCGCGCCCCGCCCCCCTGTTCCGTTCCCACCGGTACGGTGGTCGCTGTGGCGCTGAGCGAGCGCAAGCGATTTCATTTTCAGTATTATTTCTCGGTGAGGACGACCGTGTCGAAGTACAGTACGAGCCTCGTCCCTGGAGACGTGACGGTGCCGCGGACGGATGGGACGGATGGTCCCAGTTTTGTCACGGCCCTGCCCTGCGCCGCTGGCGCTGCGCTCCGCGAGCCGCGAGACCCTATAAAGCGGGCGTAAACGCCTCTACCTGGCACGACTGCGCTGGCTATAAACTATCTCTCAATCAATATTTTCTTTTTCCATCGGCTTTTGCCAGAGCCATCAAACAGCTTTATCCGCACCCATCCACCGCAAGAGTTTGTTGGGTCGCTTGAGTCTCCTCACCTCAAGGTTGGCGGTCGGGTCGGGCAGACGTTTGCACGGGCATTTGATACGCCACCAGTGGGCAGAGATAACGCTACGGTCAGCGGGCGGGGCTGCGCGCCTAAAACGCATGCGGTGTTCGCCCCCCCCCCCATTTTTTCCCTCGTTGATTCTGCGCAGCGTTTTCGTACCTCCATCCTTGTCGCACTCATGGGCGGGGCGGGAGAGAGAGAGAGAGCGCGCACGACTGACCACTGCGCGGAGTCACCCCTTGCCGTGCCCCCCGGTGCTGCCCGCCGGTGCCCCTGTCCACCGCAGCCGCAGTGCCCGCTTACCGCGCCTGACCGCGCTCTGCCCTTGTCGCGCCCGTGATGCGGCGCGATGCGCTGGGCCGGGCCGGGTCCCGATGGGCCGATGGGCCGATGGGGTGGCTTTAGCAGCCCCGCCTCCAGCCCAGCCCAGCGACACGCAGGTGCGGCATGGCCGCTGGGAACACAACACGGCCGCACACACTGGCCCTCAATCACGTCCCATTAACGCGACCACGTGACTCGGCGCGCGGCCCGGCCGAGAGAGGAGAGAGTCATTGAGGGCCGAACTGTGTCAATGCGACTAGATTGGATGGGGGCCGGCGTACTCAGTGGGGCAGTTAGTGGCGGAAGGCTAGGCTGGCGGCGGCCGGGCGCCGCTCGGCGTGTGCATCTCTATATCGCCGGCCAAAGCGTTCCATGCGCGGACGTATCTCACAATTTGTGCTGTGCGCGAGCAGTATAATGTCGCGTCGCGGGGGGCGGCGGGCGCGCGGCGGGGGGCGGGCTCCATCGGGCCCAATTAGTTGTGCGCTAAAGGGGTGAGGTCCCGGACACACACGCTAGGGCGTGGCAGAGTCTTCAACAAGGGCGCGCCCCGCCCCACGCCTGGTGCTCCAAAGGGCCCAGAGAGACTCCCGCCAGACGCAGTTGCCGCTGCTCCGCTTGCTCGCTCCACTGCTCTGCCGATGAGACAATGCGCCGCCCGCCGACTAGAGCTGCGGGTTATAATTACAGTGATGATCCCTCCCAACGCTACCTGGCACCGGCCCGGGCACCGCGGGCTCCGCGTGCGGCGCGGCGTGTTGTGTCCGCTCCAAGGCTGGCCTGGCCGAGCGATCGGCGCCCGAGCCGCGGCCCGCGGCGGCCCCGCCCGGCCCCGCCCGGCTCTGCGGCGTAGGCGTCTGCAAGCGCGCTCGGTGCTGGGAATGGGGCCGGGATACTCACGTGCTAGGCCGTGTGGACTGGGGGGCCAAACCGCCCCCACCCCGCCCCCAGGAGGGAGGGTTACCCTGTTACCCTGTGGGCACCGGGGGGCACGGCCGGCCGTGCCCGCGGTGTGCCCACGGATCCACCTTGGCCCACGGTGTGCCCGGCCCGCTGGCCCGCGGTACTCGCTACAGCGGCGGGATGGGTTGGGATGCTGACCGCTATCCTGCGCTGGACCGGCCTGGCTCGGCCCGGTGCGCGGGGCGGGGCGCTGCGTGCCGGCCCCCGCCCCTCCGCCTTCCTGCTTCCTCCTTGCTCCTCGCGCGAGGGGCACATCTCACTCTCGCAGTGGTGTGGTGGGGCGCGGCCGGGCCGGGCTGAGCGTGGCCACGACGGCGGGTACCGGCGGGTACCGGGGGGTACCAGTAATTTGACGCGCTGCAAGTGTAGCGGTATGAACGGCCATCGGGGGACGGGGCGGGACAGGACCTCGGACACGGCGGGACAGGAGGCGGCGACACGCACGGCGCAATGCTGTCGTGCAGGTTGGGGAATCATGTCAGTGGGCTGGTTGTGCCCCCGCCTCCTGCAGGCCTCCTGCAGGCCTCCTGCCTGCTGCCGGTGCCATCCCATCCGGCTTTGCCCCGCGCGCCCCGCACGCGTCGCCGTGGCCTTGACTCTCCGTTGCTCGGGAGGCTCAGCCGCGCTGCTTGGGTCCGGCTCGCGGCCACTGGCCCGGCCCTGCCCCGCCCGGCCCCGCGATGCTGGGGCTGGGCTATGCTGGAGCCGCGGTTGGTCGTGGAGCCGTGGGCCGCTGCCCTGCCTGCCTTGCTCTGGCCTGCCCTGCTCTGCCCGGGCGGCGGGCTAAAGCCAGATTGTG